CACAATTACACAATTTATACATTTAGACCTGGTCCCTAACTTAAACATCCCCAGCAAGAAATAAGCAGTTGGGAGGGAGAATCAGGCCACGAGGACTCAGAAGGCAAGGTCTCCTCTATCACCTATCAACTGTGGACCTTAGGCTTCCTGAGCCTCAGTTTCTACATCTGCTAAATGGGGACACAAATGCCTACCCTGCCTACTTCACAAGAATGTGAAACCACACAAAACAAAGAGCTTATTACTGTATGAGATGTAATCATAACTGAAGCAAACGTTATGTTTTCTTTCTGTATTGTTTTTTAAAAGCACTTTCACATCCGGTATATATTTTATTCTTTAACAGCTTTGGAAGGGTTTAATAAATATTACTTTTCCATTTAAATAAAAGAAGTAAGCAGTTCAATCTATTGGATATTTGCCTCCATTTGAATATACTTATTACTCTATAACAATCTTTATTTTAAATAAAAAGTACTTTATAGATCTCATGACTAGAGTTATTAAGTAAAGTAATAAATACCTCATAGACAGTAAAATGGTGATTAAAGGAATGGGTTTGTTCCACCAACCATTGGTTATGTTTCATTGCAAAGGACTTCATTAAATCTCTATACCTCAGTTTTCTTACCTATGAAATGGGAGATAATAACTGTACCTACCTCATAGGTTAGCAGTGAGGATTAAATGGGTTAACATATGCAAAGCACTTAGCATAGTTCCTGCAGAATTAAACATTCAGAAAAGATAAATATTATTATCATTCTAATTGGAGCAGCCAAGTTATGGGTTCTTACGAGGTCTTGATAGAATTGAATTTTGCTTTCTTGCCTCTCTACAGTATTATTATTAAAGCTATTTTTGTATGACCCCCCCCCCAGGTTATTTACAATATAAAGTAAATTAAGCTATGCCCCAATGAGCTTATAGTTTAACCTGAGTGAGAACAATACAGCTGGACATCAAGATCAGACATCTGAATATAAATCAACATTAGATTTAAAAAACTATATGTAAGCGGAGAAGTAAAATGCACCATGTGGGTAAATCAATACATTGGCAAATATTCATGCTGAGTAAAGCCTGGGGAAGTTTTTCTCTCTTTGTTATTATCAAGAAGGCTACACATAAATGATGGGACTACAGGCTCTAATTACAGAATAATCCTATTTCCCAGTGAATACATTCAAAATACAGAATATAGTTTGAGGAGAAATGTGTGTGACATAGTCTATGTCTAGTAACCCAGAAGTGGTCCCTAGCACCACGAGGACTCATTGTGGGAACTTAAGATGTAAAGGAGTAAGAATCTGATTAGAGGCCATGTCTGAATTAATGAAGGTAGATGGTTTATTGAAATTCTGATTAAGTGGCAAGGAAAATAAGACAAAAAGAAAAAGGAACCCAACTGTGATTGGCTGCATTTGTATTCCTATTTTCTTTGTTTTCTACAAAAACAATTTTCAGAAGATTAATTAACTTTCTAAACTTAATAATGGAAAAATTTCTTGTAAAATGCAGTAGAATTTATATGACACATTTTGGTTTATTCCCTTAGGATTAAGTACCATTTTATTGAGCCTAATTTAAATCCTACAGTGTGATACTTACAGAAATCAGTTAATCAAATAAGTCATCTTCTAGAAGGGGAGTTAACATGTCCAGAGCAGGGAGTCCAAGAGCTGCACAAAGTCAGGATTAATAATAATCAGGGAGTATAATTGCTTTACAATGTAGTGTTAGTTTCTGCTGTATAACAAAGTGAATCGGCTATATGTATACATATATCCCCATACACCCTCCCTCTTGCGTCTCCCTCCCACCCTTCTAGGTGGTCACAAAGCACCAAGCTGATCTCCCTGTGCTATGCAGCTGCTTCCCACTAGCTATCTATTTTACATTTGGTAGTGTATATATGTCCCTGCCATTCTCTCACTTCATCTCAGCTTACCCTTCCCCCTCCCCATGTCCTCAAGTCCATTCTCTACGTCTGTGTCTTTATTTCTGTCCTGCCCCTAGGTTCATCAGAACCTTTTTTTTTTGTTTTTAGATTCCATATATATGTGTTAGCATACGGTATTTGTTTTTCTCTTTCTGACTTACTTCACTCTGTATGACAGACTCTAGGTCCACAGCAGAAACTAGCACAACACTGTAAAGCAATTATACTCCAATAAAGATGTAAAAAAAAAAAAAAGGCTCAAAGATATTCGGCTTACGTGGAAAAAACCTAAAGAAAATTTTAGGTAGATTAAAAGAGACCTTGTTTTGAAGGGGAAGAAAAGCCAGATGGCAGCAAAGACAGAATTCTCCCTACCCTCTTCCTTTTAACTTACCCAGTACTGGCAGGCCTAAGTAACACAGCATATTAGCAATTTTGATAAGAAGGGACTGTAGCAGGAAAAAAAAACAGAGTTCTTTATAGAAACTATTGAATATTTACCTTAAAAACTTGCTAGAATGATTCCACAAATGAATTATTTCAGTAGAGGCTTATTAAAAGAGAGGTTTTAGGTTTAAACATACATGAAAAGCAAAAAGTACAGTTTAAAATTGGTGATTCATCAGCCTTCTTCAGCTTCTCAGTTTCAGAGGAATATTTTAGAAGAGATTGTCTATAAGCAACATAATCCATTGATTTGCTGCTACACCAAAATGACTTTGCTGTTCTCTTTAACTTCATAATCTAATGAAAACGATAGGCTGTGGTCCTGATTCTTCCTACAGTATGAAGAGGGGCCTATAAAATATGTCCCACCCCCTTTCATGCAGGATTCATCCTTCTGTTAAGGACCTTAACCCTCCATGTTGCACCATGCAATGATTCTGCCCACTTTCACCATTTGACTGCTGGTAAAAAAGTATATTTTACTCTTTTCCACAAAGTTTGAATCCTGTTTTATCTCTGATTATAATTAACACTTGTTTCTGCAAGATTAGCAAAATGATGACAATTGATGAAGTTCTGTAATGGGCACATGGATGTGTACTGCATTATTCTACTTTGTGTTTGAAAATTCTCATAATAAAAAGTTTAAAAAAAAATAGTCAGGGAGGCATCAGAAGAAAAGCTAGAGGAAGATCATTTATTTGAAAAACTCCAGGAAATAAGAATGTGAGAAAGAGAGATGCTGACAAAGTTGTACAGCAGAAATGTCAGAGCTGCTCTCTGACATTTATGAGAGGAACTCATAAAGGCTATAGCGGTGAAAGGATTAGACAAAGAGCTGAGGAAGAACCGTATTGATTACCCGCCAGAAACCTGACTCCTTGGACAAACAGCATCAGCATCATGTGGGATCTTGTTAGAAATGCAGCTTTGAAGGCCCTGCCCCAGATTTACTGAATCTCAAACTCCAGAGACTGGGACCCAATAATCTGTGTTTTAACAAGCCCTCCTGGTGACTCTGAGGCAAACAGAGTTCCAAAACCACTCGTTTAGAATTTCTAAGGAGATTGTAGCCTCCATTCTTTATCTGAAGTTGTCTTAGTTGCCCTTTACGAATGGGTAAGTGTTGATATAAATAACTTAGATATACAACTCCTTTTCAATTACATATGGGACTATTTGTTTTATGGGTCTCATGTATTCAGATTTCTTCTGTCACTCAATTTGCTTAGGAGAAAGCCATCAGCACCTGCCTTCAATGAATATGAGAAAATGAAAATTAAATTTAGTACTGGTAACTCAAACACTAGGATATTAAATATGCTGCACTCCAAGTTTTTATAACATATATATACATAATCTTATATGTATACACACACACTTCATAAGAAGCATTTGATATAAAAATATCAAGTATTTTAAATTTTGTTCTATCAGTTCCAATTAGTAAAACATAACCGCTTTAAAGTAAAAATAATTCAAGGAATATAGAGGTACAATAATAGTTATAACTATAGCTAAGAATAAAGTTTCAGGTTTCCATCTTTTCTCTGTCTTTTCCAAAGATGCAGGTAGCTACTAAAGAATTATTAAAGAAAGAGAAAAGTGCTGATTTGGAAAATAAAAACTATTTATAAAAACGATTAATCTTATTTAATTACACTCTAGCTGCTCGTATTTGACTTGCAATTAAGTAATAACATGGACTGAAGTAAAAATTATAAGCCATGTTTGGAGGGTTCCCTTTCAAAAGTAAGGTTACATGGTCATTACGATGGAGCCTTGTAAAGAATAATTTCCATTTCAGGGTGTGTGACGTTATGAGCTTTTCTTACTGGCAAGGTTCACCTCGTTCAGTCGTTTATTTCGGTCATATATGTCATTATAATTATGGGTAGTGTTGTATGGTTATTCGGTTCCAACTAGTTTTATTTCATCTTTTTAAACCAAACTAACTACTTATATCCACAAAGACTACTAAACACTCTGATATTTTCCTAATTTCATAAAATGCTCATGGAATGCTAGAAATACACTAAAAATATTTTAATTTTGTTTATTTTTCTTTTTATAACCTTTATATCCTGACATAAAATACATTGAAAGTTCCTTTAGTCTCCACAAGCCCAATGAAAATGTTCTCAGTGTAACTCTAAGTACAAAATTGTTTATGATTTTGAATACTGCCTTTGAAATGATATTTTCTTATATTACATTATATAATGCACAAATATATACTAATGACATGTGCTTTTAAACTTTTTCTGCTGTAGACAAAGAGAAAAACACAGCTAATATTAATATAGGTTTTCAACACTTTTATAATAGTAGAGATTTTAGTGATAGGTTATTTTATGCATGAAAATTGTTTTATTTGAGCCCTATTTTAAGAAAATGTTTTTAAAGCTATTGTTTTTTACTGTCCTTATTGTATTTCTTAAATGTAAAGAAAAAGAAAATCTGCTATCTGAACTCCATGTTTTTAATCCATAGACTATTCTGGAAAAAGATACATGTATACTTTAAAAAAAATTATTCTGAAAGGAAGAGAGAAATCTTTGAAGCCTTCTCTGAACTGTTTTCCTCTCCTTTATTACAGGTGTCCAGTTTTTCAGCTATATTAATCTTTTAAATCAAACAAAAAATGGATTTCTTAAACTCATCTGATCAAAACTTGACCTCGGAAGAACTGTTCGACAGAATGCCATCCAAAATTCTGGTGTCCTTCATTCTCTCTGGGCTGGCACTGATGACGACGACCATTAACTCACTTGTGATCGCTGCAATTATTGTGACCCGAAAGCTACACCACCCAGCCAACTACTTAATTTGCTCCCTTGCAGTCACAGATTTTCTTGTAGCTGTCCTGGTGATGCCTTTCAGCATTGTGTATATTGTGAGAGAGAGCTGGATTATGGGGCAAGTGGCCTGTGACATTTGGCTGAGCGTTGACATCACGTGCTGCACTTGCTCCATCTTGCATCTCTCTGCTATAGCTTTGGATCGGTACCGGGCAATCACAGATGCTGTTGAGTATGCCAGGAAAAGGACTCCCAAGCATGCTGGCACTATGATTACCATAGTTTGGATTATATCTATTTTTATCTCTATGCCTCCTCTATTCTGGAGGCATCAAGGAACTAGCCGAGAGGATGAGTGCATCATCAAACACGACAACATTGTTTCCACTATTTACTCAACATTTGGAGCTTTCTACATCCCATTAACATTGATTTTGATCCTCTACTACAAAATATATAAAGCAGCAAAGACTTTATACCACAAGAGACAAGCAAGTAGGATTGCCAAGGAGGAGCTGAATGGTCACCTTTTGGGGAGTGGTGAGAAAAGCATTAGACTGGTCTCCACACCGTACATGCTAGAAAAGTCTTTATCTGATCCATCAACGGACTTTGATAAAATTCATAGCACAGTGAAAAGCCCCAGGTCTGAATTCAAGCATGAGAGATCCTGGAGAAGGCAAAAGATCTCAGGCACAAGAGAACGCAAAGCAGCCACTACCCTGGGATTAATCTTGGGTGCATTTGTAATATGTTGGCTTCCTTTTTTTGTAAAAGAATTGGTTGTTAATATCTGTGAAAAGTGTAAAATTTCTGAAGAAATGTCAAATTTTTTGACATGGCTTGGATATCTCAATTCCCTTATAAACCCACTGATTTATACAATCTTTAATGAAGACTTCAAGAAAGCATTCCAAAAACTTGTGCGATGTCGATATTAGTTTAAAGAAGTTTATTATGGAAAGATTGGGGTTCTTTCGAGGTGAAGTTACTAAATGAAGGATAAAGAATAAAACATTTAAACTTTTAGAAGGACATAAATTAAAGCCACTAGAATGATATTAATATATATTTTAATAGCAAATACATATAAAATGTATTGATTTAAAGACTTTTTTTGACCATTATTCTAGAGTATGTGAAATTAGAAAATAATTTATTGTTTATAAACAATATTTTGCCTATGCAATGTCCCTAAAAACTAACTGGAAATATATATATATTATTATTAACAGTGATTTTTCAGGTTTATATCTTATAACAACTACAGAAGAATTTTCAATTAACAACATACCTCCATCCATAATTTCTACATAATCTTATTGTTTTATTATATGATTCTATTATTTTATAGACAAGATAAAATTCACCACAAAGCACACATTTCTCCTACCTTGTCCCCTCTCCGTCTTACCCTAGGCAAAATAGGAGGGGGAAGGAGCTAAAAAAAAAAAAGACTCTTACTTAGTGTGACCAGAGGAAACATAAAAGTCAGAGGTTGATACTGTCTTTGTATTTTGATAGTAAGGAGTAATCATAAAATGAGCTAGGTACTGCAAAATAATTCTGGATACTGAACTTGTACATATTTACCATATTCTTTTTGTTTAATATGAATTCCTAGAAGAATATTTTCTTAATCATATATTATCAACATTTGAAATCAAAGCCTTACCCTAGTAGAAATAATTCAGGGAGGGTCTGGGGGTGGTGTTCTAATTTTGCCATGTTTAGGAATCAAATTTAAGGCACTAAGTACCCTATGTTACTTGCCATAGATATTATATGCCTGACTTTTAAAAAAATATAAGCTATGTTTCATTTCTGTTAATGTTAATAGGCTTAGTTACTAACTAAAATGTCTGTGATACTTTGTACTTCAGCAGCTATTTCCCTTTTATTAGAGAGAATGTGGTAGGGAGTCTTAGACTTTTCACTGACTTCAAAAAAGTCTCTAGTTTTCCAACTGATAGAAATGAATGAGCAAAGATGACTATTATACTAATTATATATATTATATATGTATATATCTCCCAGTTGGTCACGCCACAAGTTCAGTGAGCCAAAGCAATTTCCTAAGTTTATCTACCATATTTATATAGGGATTTGAAAATAAAAGAACCATGCTTCTGAGAAGATTTCATTTCATTTGAACCAGCAAGGTCATATACCACCTTTTAATCCTACCATCAACCAAAATCATTTGAAAAAACAATACATTCCCTTTTATTCTAAGCTGTACCTTCATGTGTATTCTAAATATTCTTTCCCAGTGGGGTGCTTAAGAGTACATTACATCAATTTTTTATGCATCAATGACACATTACTCTCAATCTAACAAATATTTACAGAACTTTAATTTTATATAAGGCATTGAGATGTACTCTCAATGTATAGATGTATAGAAGATACGGGAAATAATAAAATACTGTTTCTTCCTTTAACATGTTTACAATCTAAAAGGTGAAACAAACAACAAAAATATGAACACTATAATAGAAAAGAAAAAACAAAGATCAGCATGGAGGTTGTTTACATTTTTGTGATGATTCAAAGGAAACACTGATCACATCTAGTTGAGAAAAATAAGGAAATTTTTGTAAAGAATGTATCTAAAATGGATATTTAATGAACAGCATTTGAGCAAGAGATTTGGAAGAGCATACCTCAGGCGGTGGCAACATAAAGATGTCAGACTGCATCCTGCAAGCATTTGACGGGACATGACCATAAAGTAGCAATGAGTTTGGCAGCTATTTAGAATGACAGTAGAAGAGCTTAAAAGAGAAACTGGCCATTATTGTGGCTGACTGAATGTCAGCAAAGGAAGTCTATAGTCAATTTGGTTGCTGTCTGTCAATGAGTGGTCACTGATGTTTTTTAGCAGAAATATTACAAGTTTAGGGCAATTCTAGAGAAAAAATCTGAGTGGATTTGAGCAGAGAGAGTACTGGACATAATAACTTCTTGTTAGAAAGCAATTATTAATCTGGGCAAGAGGTGATAAAGTCCTGAACTTGATTCTGGCAATGGGAATGTAAAGGAAGAAATAGATGAGAGGTATTGTGGAGGTAGAATCTGCAGGTTATAGCAAATACGTTAATAAGCAGGCAGACAGACAGAAAGACATGAGTCACTAAGATAACTAGTTCTCAACTGAAATGAGGAACTCAAGAGAAGGGGCCTATTGGTGCAAAGGTGACTTCTCTTTTGGGTACGCTAAGCACATAAAGACATATCAGAGCTCACAGGCACTTCCTGAGCAGTCTGGTCCAAGCAAAACTAACAAGTAGATGAGATTTATCTAAGGCTCCTGCCTCTTCTCTTTATTTCCCAGGGCCCGTGTGCTGTGTTGACAGTCCAAAGTTTGTTTGAGACCCTATCATTCTCTGCTTATTTCTTTCTCCTTCTCACCAAAATTTGATTCTGTGATTTATTTACCCAAAGGCCTTGCTAAAGTTAAAATAATTTGTTAAATTAATTTATTTACACTCACCTCAGGAATGTATATATTTATATTGGAGAACTCTAAGAGACACAGCCCATCAACCCAAAGGAAGAATTCTCAAGCAGGGTGAGGCTCACCCAAACATACATACTACCCTCTACTCTGAGTTGGACTGAAGCTCAAATCTAGGAAAATAATACTCTAAGTGACAGGGAAGTCAGATTCTCCTTTAGAGCTCTCTGGAGAATCAAGTTTATTATTTCTTTGTGTTTAAAGCATTTTTTTAATCCAAGGGGGGTCACAACACATTACAGTAATTATCAGTTTGTCTATGGGTTTTCCCCATATGCTGAAGATACAGATCATGCCATTCCTCATGAACTGATATGAGTGATTTCTCTTTAATAGCTTTAAAGGGTAGGAATGTAGGGGCTAATAATCTGTAATTTGGACTGTTAAAAAAAATTATGAAGAACAGATTGCATATAACATGATATGCTTCTCTGAATACCTAAGATTTATTCTCTCAATGAAATTTTTCTAAGTTACTAAAAGCTGAAGATTTCTACTGAAGAAAATAAATTTTCACATCCATAACGAATGTAACAATTTAATAATGCATATATTTAACTGATAAGGTAGAAGAAAATATATAAGTATCATAGAAAGTGGTTAAATATTAGATAATGAAGGTTAACTTCCTGCTATAATTTTAAATAGACCAGCACCAGAAAAGTAAGTGGAGGATTTGTTTTTGCTCTGCTTCTTCTAAGTATTTTCAAATGAAGGATGTGCAAATGACAAGGTCAAAACACCAAAGAAGAGATAGGATGTCAAACTACTGAATACTAAATTCAGTCCAATACATCTATCATTTGGCATAGCTATGTACAAATCATGTTTGAAAATTCACTTCTGTTTATGAAATATGGTCTTTTTTATAGGGTTGGGATGGGAATATGGATTCTCCACCCGAATTTTTTGTTTGTTTTGTTTCGTTTCACAATAGACGCCCCCAGGGTCAAATCCATAGCATCAACAGTTTATCCAGGTAATGGCAGTTGATGGGTCAGCCCTTAAGTAGGATGAATTTCCATTTGAATCTCCAAAACCAAACTTCCTTTCATTCTTCTGGTGAACTTGATTCACCCCCGCTCCCACCTCAACCCACTCCCTGTGCTCCAGGTTACACAAGTTCCCCGCTTCCAAGTGAAGAAAAGCTTCTTTGGGACTCACCTCCAAATTCTTCTAACAGTTCCAAATTTTAAAATTCCTTAGCAAAGCATAATCCCCATATTCTCAGGCTCAAACTTAAGCTTGCCCCTCTTTATCAAGAGCTTTGTGTCAAAAAGAAATAGAGAAAAATTGGAAGCCAGTTAACAGGACATGTGCTGACTTGCTTCACCAAATATCATGAAAAGTGAGAGTGGTTATTTGCTTCCTGCTGACATGCTTTCCTCTGCCTCAAGGAGTGAACAGCTTCCTCATGAATTTACACAAGACTTTTTTTGACTTGCAGTCAGAAAATCAGGTTTACTGTATTGCAGGAAAGGAAGCTTGAAGGATTTTTCCTTAATATTTTCTAAAGTCCTTCAAAAATAATCCTGCACAGGGCTTCCCTGGTGGCGCAGTGGTTGAGAGTCCGCCTGCCAATGCAGGGGACACAGGTTCGTGCCCCGGGCCGGGAAGATCCCACATGCCACGGAGCGGCTGGGCCCGTGAGCCATGACCACTGAGCCTGCGCGTCCGGAGCCTGTGCTCCGCAACGGGAGAGGCCATAGCAGTGAGAGGCCCGCGTACTGCAAAAATAATAATAATAATAATCCTGCACAATTCAAAATGTGTCCACTTTAAATTGTTTTAGAAAATGTGTCTCTAATACTCTCCTAAAAACTCAAATGATTATATTCAGACCTTTATTTTGCCAGAAAATATTTCCAAAGACAAGTTAATATTTCTGTCATGAGCAAAGTAATACTTTCGTATGGCACTGTGATCATTTTTCATGGCCTTGTGAATTCATATGCTTCCCCCAATTATTTAAATGAGGCACTTGTTGAGAAAAATACTTTCCAACATTATAATAAATGTATGGTTATTGATAAAGAATATCTTCTCTGTACAAAGCATGATAGTACTTGAAACCTACCTGAGAAAGATAAAACTTTTTCAAAGAATTTGCATTCCCTGATTAGGCCAGAAATGATAAAAATTCTGAGGAAAAAAATGTATAATATTATTTTGATCAACAATAAATCCTGTCTAACTAGCCTTTCAGTGAAGTTTGTGTCACAGCTCTAATTTCTACCATGGAGAGTTTCCACCTCTGCAAGGACAGTAAGATGACCTTATTGGTTTATGTAGATACACAGCAAAGCTTGCTTGCTATGTCTTTCTTCCCATGCTCTCCAATAAACTTTTCACTATATCCTGTTAATATTCCTAAATTATATGTAATTAACATGCATTCCTAAAAATTATACTTACTGTATCATTATATATATATTTATTTATTTATTTATTTATTTATTTATTTATTTATTTATTTATTTATTTATTTATTTTTTGCGGTACGCGGGCC